AATTAAGTTAACTGCAGGAATGCGAAATTAATTAATTAATATTGTCTTCTTTAAGGTGATCCTGTTAAAGCTGGATGATGTGCCATTATGCCGTTCGTTTGAAGTGGAAGTGGATTCGCCGCTGCATTGGGATAATATCGTAATTTTTCTTTTTTTTTTGAGAAATCTTCGAATTGAGCCTTCTGACAGTGCTAAACCGGTCGTAGTATTTTTAAAAGCACAAATTGTTATTTGGAAGCTTTTATCATAAGTTTTTGTTGGCGCATTTTGCCAACGATGGATTTTGCGAGATTAACGGTTTCTAAAATCGCATATATGGCGGAATTAGCCGCGTTCTCACCTCACTTCCTAAGTAGGCCTTTAAAAAATCCATGGCTCCTTTATTGTTCTTGAAACTCGCTATTAAAAGAGCTGTGGCCTGGAACATAGTTGCTTTTTTCTGTTCATCTTAAGGTGCCAGATTGGGCATGAGATTTCGATCCTGAATTACTTTATGTGAGTGCTTTCTCCAACTAAGAATGCAGCTATTTTTATTTTTTTCTGTGACATAAAATGTTAAAAAGATCCGTAGCTGTAACAAATTTTCTTTGAAATCGAAAAATTCAGTTATGAAGACGCAAAATTAAGCCACACGAGCCCTAAATCATATCACCGGGCGCAAAGTTTGGCCACAGAAAAGTTGTTGTCTGTTCAAAAGTGTTAAATCGCTCAAAAATGAATAAATCAGTCTAAAAATGCTATGGAAAATGGGCTAAGGAATGTCAGAGAGAGGGCGTTCGATGAGATACTCTGTAGCAGGGGTTGAATACTCAATTGCTGGTATGTTAATCATTATTTTATGGGAGTTCCTTTTTCATTTTTTCTTTTTTTTGATTGGAAATAATAATTCTGGAGTTTAGCTGTGTTCGATGCCAGAAATTGAAGACTCGCTTCTGCAACAGATCCAGCTTATCAGCGTTGGCCAAGCATTCCCAATTCATATCGCATTAGCTGATCCTATTCGCGTCACTGTTGGTACGAATTGCATTGAAAAAAGAAAAATTGTGAATAAAATAGATTTAGTGGAAGTAGTTAAGTTTGAATGAGTTATGAGAATAAATTTGTTTAGCAGAGAGGAGTGAAATGAGATAGTTGAAACAGTTAGAGATCCAATCAGCCTAGGCGAATTTAGGAGGGAGGGGAGAGGAGAGGGCGATGCTACAAAAGTCCGGGTTTAAAGCTAAAACTGAAGAAAACTCTCTTCCGCATCCTCCCCGCCCATTGCCGCACCGGGAGATCCATTTCCTCCTCCACCTGGAATCCGGCCTGGATCCGCTTATGGCAGTCAGTGAAAGAGAGAGGGAATTAAATGCAACAAAGTAACTTGTGAAGAATCATAAGAGAATAGGACAAGGATAGTTTAAGTATGCTTGGACTGTCAGTGTGGGTATCGCCTGTTATTGGTGCTGCTAGGATGCCCCCACATACCGAGCGCAGCTATGCCAGGTCCTTCGATCCTAGGCTGCAGCTGTCAGCCACTGCCTGTTCTACGATTGTGCACCACCTTTTCAAGGATCATCCAAGTGGTCGCCTACTTTCACGTGATTACCACTTACTAATGCACATTGTCCATGATTGCCGGCAAACCAAGCTCCGTGTCCTGTCCGTCGTATTTTACTTTCTCGTGTGGTGACAGTGATATCTTGCGCTCCACTCTTCTGACGGAGAATTTAATTGTTTCTACAGCCGCGAAGAGATACACCAAGCATTCTTCTCCTCATCGCTGTGCCAGTGCTCATTCTTCGGCTTTTTTGTGTGACCTTAACTGACCGTTCAAGAAATAAGACTTCTTATTTAAGCTCACAGATCGGTGCAGGGGATTTATGTGTTTGTGTGGTGGTGCTTCACTGAAGGGAGATTAGAAAAGGCTGTGTTGATCATATGCAGGATGATTTTGTCATGTATCTTTGTTCGCACAAATGGGACTGAATAATTTGATCTTAATTTTTGATCTTAATTTTTTGATTTTAATTTTGATCTTAATTTTGGAAATTTTTGATCCTAATTTTATAATCTGCGGTTAACACTGACGCACAAAAATTCCATCACACTAATGGGTTTTTTTTTTAAGTTAACCGTTAAAAGTAATATGCGAGCTCTGTCGGCGGACTGAAGAAAGCGTAATACTAGACAGTGACAAACGAGCTGATAACCCGTTCAACAAACAAAATGAACTTAGCATCGTCAAAAACTGATGCTATTGAAGAGATGAAGAACCAGTAGCTGATCCAAGTAAATATATAAATATGCATGAGACAAGAGGCAAAACTCTGGTTGTTGTGTGCCTCTTCCTGAATAAGCTACGGATCGGATCTTCCAAAAACCGTTTTATAAATTATAAAATTAAGCAAAAAAAATTTCTGGTAATCCAAAAATTTTATAAAAACAATAGATTTTATTTGTTAAATTTGACCATTAGCAGTTGATATTTGAAGCGATTACGAATTTCAGTTCGAATTGAAGCACTATCATCGGAGGATCAGACGGTAGCGTACATAAACGCGGACACTAAAATGCTTGTGAAACCGTTCATACGCGAATTGGACCAGGGGAACGATGAACGCCGGGAACAGCTACCCACTTCAGTTACCCGAATTTTTGAAGAACTATGCATCGATGCGGCTGGTACATCGTTCTCTGCCAGAATACGACACTACTGTGGCGATGAAGGCACGAGTTTTGCGGCAAGGATTCTGCCGGACATCCTTCACAGGGATTTTCACGAGCAATCCTCCATTCCATTGGTTTATGTAGTGAAAAATTGTATGTTTCATA